AAAAAAAAAAAAAAAAAAAAAGAAGAACGAAACGAAGCAGCTGCGTCAAGCAGCTGCTGTAAAGGGGGGATGAGGGGCGGCGGACGCGTAGCTGGAGGCGTGGGATGGATGAGTGGATGATTAGGGGAGGTGGAAGCGTATTAGAGCTTGATTAGGCTTTAAAAAGGGAAGAAAAACGAAGAATGGAGATGGAGAGAAACCCAGAAAACAGAGGAGGAAATTTTTGGAGAATTCGAGTTTTTGGTTGCTTAAAATTGGACATCAATCGAGGGTAAAGGAAGAGGGGTTGTTGCTGAGGAATCTTTTGAGGAAAGGATACGGCCCCGAGCTGAATCGGACGGTAATTCGAAGGTAACGAAAAAAAACCCATATCACCGAACCTTTAAATCTCGATATCTTGATTCATACTAATTCGAAGGTAACGAAAAAAAACCCATATCACCGAACCTTTAAATCTCGATATCTTGATTCATACTGCATAATAAATTATGAAAAAAAACCCATATCACCGAACCTTTAAATCTCGATATCTTGATTCATACTGCATAATAAATTATGAAATAAAACCCATATCACCGAACCTTTAAATCTCGATATCTTGATTCATACTGCATAATAAATTATGAAATAAGGCTTGTTAGAACCGTAGTTAGGAGATCTATAAAGTTGTAGAAGAAATCAGCAAGAAATTCGAGCGGTAGAGATGAAATTTTTGCTTCGGGACACAACGGGTATTAAGGAAAAAGATTGGAAAAAAATTGCAGGGAGGAGAGGTTGAAGACGAGCGCGTGAAGGACACGCGAGGCGCGTGGGAGGCCGCGAGTGGAAGTGCGACTGTGCGAGGATCAGGCGCGTGAGAAAACGAACATTGACCTTGTGTTGGCGCGTGAGGGCGCGTGCGAAGGTATTTTTGCTCCCGGTTTGTCCCGTTCGACTCCTTTTGACCTGTCCTACCAAAATTGGTCTATACTTATGTTGAAATTGATAAAATATAGGTCTAATAGGAAGGAATTGTGTTGAAATACTATTAAACGTACATTCAAGGGGAAAAAGGAGTTCGAAACCAAGTAAGTAGCGTATCGACCTTTGAACTCGTTCTTAACTTCTTTTACAACATGTGAGTATGTTGTTTACCTGATTAAGAGCTTAATAAGTTATGATGAACTTTGATGATATTTAGTGTTTATTGTATATTGTGACTGCTTGCCTGTGATGTAAGCGTGATATAAATGATTGTCAGAATGTTCTACGTGTTGATCATGATACATGTATGGAAGCATGCAGTAACTGTGAGTATGTTATGCATGTTAATGGAAAGGTTATGACTCTAGATATGCTTATTGGTGGTTGAGCTATGGCTTATTTATATGAGTATGATAGTCTACTAATTCCCGCGGAGTTCCTGGCCAACGCGCTGTGTGCTAAGTCAGGGAGCAGGAGTACTCCTGACCGTTGGTATATGAGATAAACAGGCCGCCAGAGCAATTAGTAGATGGGCCGTATTTGACCGAGAGCGAGTCTTACATACGAGTCCGAAAATTCTAGATAAGCATATCGAGAGAGAGTCAGTAACCTAGCTGGAGGTAGCTGAGATACCTCATTAACGAACAGATGACCCTAGTAAGAGAACTAGGAGTCAGTGATGAATAAAACATAAAAACACCTGAAAAGATTAGTTATGAACCTGTGAATGATAAACTAGCTACTTACTGAGTATTCTAATTACTCATCAGAATTATTATAACTTTTCTTTCCAGATGTAGATGCTGCAGGCCAGCCGAGGACGAGACCAGCGGGCTAGAGACTACTGGGAATCCATGTCTGGGTCTGTTATGTAATTATGTTTCCGTTGTCAAGAATTTACCTTGGTCGTTTTAAGTTTTTTAAAAGTACTGTTTTTTTTAATATTTTACTGGATGTTTTTTTTTGAAATACTTGAAATTTTATGATTGGATATCAGAGTCTCTTAATTATTGTCGATGTTAACTCCTGTTAATCGTTGACGATAAGCGGGTCTTACATTATTAAAGACCCATGGAAAGATCTAAAATTGTTGTTTATATGCTAAGGTCAAAACTAAAGTAGGATTTAAAACTGATATCAAAACTAAAGTAGGATTTAAAACTGATATCAAAACTAAAGTAGGATTTAAAACTGATAAAAGTATAGACTAGTTTGGAATGGTTGTTGAATCATTCAGAATTCTTATGAAATTCTAGAAGATAGAAGCCATGATTTTGTGGTATACATTTCACACGTGTAACAAGACTTTAAAGATTGGAAGTTTACAGATTAAAATATTACTAAAATATAGGATAACAGGGATTGATCTAAGAGTGCTTGAATTTTTCTTTCCTTTTTATATTCCGAAGTGAAACCCAACGAAATAGTCAACTCTTTGAACCATCCTTTTCCAGGATTAATTAATCTAATGGCTCGTAATTATGGGGATGCCTCAATAATTTTAGTAATTAAAGTAATCAATATTCAGGCTTTGATTTTTTTGGTCTTATTTTTTTATTTGAAAAAAACGAAAGTGTTAATTAAAAAAAAAATGTTTTTGTGATATTTATTCCCTAAAATTTTGGTCTAAAAAACCCAAAATAATAATAATAATAATAATTATATATATATATTCTCCTTGCTCAAGGTTATATACTGTGAGCGGTTCTTGTTTCCCTCTTGTTTGTTTATATAACGTCTCTTTCAAAAATTTCTTTACGAGAGATTTTTTTTTAGCCAAATGAGAAATCACTAATCCAATTCCAACATTTTGCATTTAGACCCCTCAATCTCTAGCTTTTTACACCAACTCACCTCTCCTTTTTGGCCCCACTCCCTTTTTTTTTCTTTTTTTTTTTTAATTTTAATTTAATTTTATTTATTTATTCAATTATCAGCAATATCTGATCATATATTTTTTTGGACCACAAAATGCCTCCTATCAACAAAATATAAAGGTCCCACACCTCTATTTTTTACTATTATTATTATTTTCCTATAAAAATAGTTTGTTCTTTTTTCTTTTTCTTTTTATCCCATTAAAATATTTCAGCCTGCCTTTTAATTTATATTTATTTGATCTCGAAGGCAAAAAATAATTTATATTACTCAATTCAATTTAAATAAAAGTATTATTTTCTCAAATTTCCTTAATTTTTTTTATATTATTTTCTCAAATTTCTTTAATTTTTTTTATAAATAAAATGAGACCATAAAGATAGGTAAGGAAGATGAAACGATGCCTCATATTTATAAAAAATTATACTATATATTTATTTTCAAAATTTATTTTAAACCGTATATTTAAGAAAGTCTTATTATCCGTATAAAAGTTTAGAATTTAAATTGATTTAATTGTTAATTAAAATGAGAATTCAATAAAAATCCTTGGCTCATAGAAAAAAAGTTATTGTTATTATTATTATTATTATTCAATAACGCGTATAAATAAATATCTGTATAATTTTTCCATACATTGTACATCTTTTTTTAATATTTAAATAAATATCACATTTAAATACATGTGAAACTTGAAAAAGTGGAAACATTCAGTATCTTAGGGCTATCCTGAAAATTATCTTAGGACCTTTTCTAAATATAATAATAAATAAATAAATAAATAAAATATAATAAAGACATTCTCTTCACTTGGTCAGATTCAATTATTATCTATTTAACCGAAATAAATTCTATTATTTAGTCTATTTATTAAATAAATCCAAATTTAGTTTATTTTATTATGGTATACAATTAAATAAAATAAAATTAAGAAAGAAAATTTAAGAGATTTTGTCAACATTAATAAATCATATAAGTCCAAATTAAATGTTGTTTTTAATTTAATTTAATTTTCTTTGCGATGACACGTGTACTATATTTGGAAACAGAATAAAAAATGAAAGATGTTTAATAATAGAAGAAAATTTAATATTAAATCAATACCAAAATTAAATACGTTTTTAATATAGTTTAGATATAATTTTCTTCACCTTTTATTAAAATTAATAAATTAAGTAAAAGCATGAAGAAAATTATGCCACCAAATAAGAGAAGGAAAATTTGGGTCGAGGCCTCATATATCTTGATGCCATCTCGAGTCTCGAGATGTCGTCGACCATTGCAACTCACTTGTCAGGCCATCGAGAACGGGCCCGCGTGTTGCTCATCTTATTGGGACTTTTCAAACATTCATCCATCTGGGTTCTATCGAGGCATTGGCTTTCTCGTGCCCATATCGTGTCATTTACGGATACAATGCCAGATAGCAAGTGTATGTAGTAATTTCCAACACGCGGGCTTGCGCAATATTGAACAATAAAAACAAGTACAAAAGACCAAGAAAAAAAGTCAGACAGAAGCCAAAAGGAAGCTTAACCTCCAATAAGAGAGAAGGAAAGCTTGGCCAAAGCCGAGGTTCCCTAACTCGACACAAGTCAGAAGTCCAACCTAAGTCCTCTTTTAACCTAATTAAAAAAGGAATCACGAAAAATTCTACCAAGGTCATATAAAAATCTTATTACATTAAATTTCTCATAACCAATTATCAAATTCGTCCATACATGCTTTTCTTAACAGTAAGATACATTCTTTCCCTTGAAACAAATTTTATCATTGTTGTCGATGAACATCATGTATGTTTTGTTAACGCTATCAAATTTGTAACCATCCAAGCCCACTGGTAGCATATATTGTCCTTTTTGGACATTCCCTTTCGAACTTCCCCTCATAGTTTTTAAAACACGCCTGTTAAGAGAAGCTTACTCCACAACCTTACAAAAAATGCTTCGTTCCCTTCTCCAACCGACATGGGATCTCACAATCCACCCCATTCGGGGCCTAGCACTCTCGCAGGCACTCGTTCCACTCTCCCATTTACGTGGAATCTCACAAAATTAATAATATAACCGAAAATTTACAATATTAAAAATTAAAATATCTTGATTTTTGTGTTAGAGGTAATAAATGCATTTTGTTTAATTTAAGTAATAATTAGATACATGGTTGTTGGAGTATTTTGAATGAGTCCTTAAAATTTTATAATACACATTATGTAAGGTTGATGGATGTCGTATTCACATTTAATGTATTATAGCGGTGGTACCTTAATTTTATATTACACTATTTGAGAAAATAATAAATATTTAATGATTAAAAAAAAAGAAAAGGGAATTTGTTAAAATTTGATTTTCAATTTCAACTGCCGTAAGGGAGATACGCGGTCCTGAATTCTCCCAATAAAAGGGGCGGCCGCTAGGTTTTCCATCTCAAACGAGTTCTTCTCTTCATCAAATCGTCATAGCCATTTCTATATTTTCAATCTATCGATCGTTTCTTTTCTCTCTCTAATCCCTGTTCTTAGATTTTAGCGGTTGAATTCGGATCTCGGTTTGAAATTTTGGCGTTGATTTAGGTGAGTGGGTGATCGGTGTGGTGTGAATTGAATTGGGGGGAATTCTTTTTGGAGTTCTGTGAATTTTGATTTGGTTGAAGGGGGATTATTGATTGAGTTATTTAATTTGTTTGTTCGATTGGGGAATTTGGCGATTAGGGTTTTGGGTTCGTGATATGTGAAAGGAGTTTTTTCGTGTGAAGATGCCAGCTACTGATTATCAGGGTTCATCGGCTGCTTGGGGTGTTCGGCGAGATCAGCTTTACGCTATGACTGATTCTCCGACGTCTCATGAACATGATCTTGACGGGTTTCAGAGGCAAGTTGCTGATCGGTTCTTAGAGCTTGCGTCGGTTGGTGCTGATGATTTGCTTTCCTTGTCTTGGGTTCAGAAGCTTTTGGATTCGTTTTTGTGCTGTCAGGAGGAGTTTAAGCTCATTCTCGACAGCCAAAAATCTCTAATCTCTAAAGCTCCATTGGATCGATTGGTTGCTGATTATTCGGAGCGTAGCGTTAAGGCGCTTGATGTGTGTAATGCCATTCGTGATGGGGTTGAGCAGCTGCGGCAGTGGCAGAAGCTCTTGGAGATTGTTGTCAGTGCGTTGGACAATTGTAATCACCAGAAAACTCTTGGGGAGGGCCAATTTCGTCGGGCTAAGAAGGCCCTCACCGATTTGGCTATCTGTATGCTTGATGAGAAAGATTCGCATACCTCTTTCCTTGCCCACCGCAACCGTTCTTTCGGACGGAACAATGTCACGAAAGATTCACGGTCTTTGGGCCACTTTCGATCTCTGTCATGGAGCGTTTCGCGGTCGTGGTCGGCAGCACGGCAGCTACAATCGATTGGTAACAATTTGGCGGCCCCTAAAGCGACTGAGCTTTTGGCTACTAATGGGCTTGCAGTTCCTATTTTCACCATGAACATGGTGTTATTGTTTGTAATGTGGGCGCTGGTAGCGGCTATTCCTTGCCAGGATCGGGGTTTGCAGGTTCATTTCTCGTTGCCTCGGAGTTTCCCATGGGCGGCTCCAATCCTTCAACTCCATGATCGAATTGTGGAGGAGTCCAGGAAGAGAGATCGAAGGAATTCCTGTGGGCTGTTGAAGGAGATTCATCAGATCGAAAAGTGCACGCGTCTCATGAATGATTTGGCGGATGCAGCTCAGTTCCCGTTGGCTGAGGAGAAAGAAGCAGAGCTGAGACAGAGAGTGCAAGAGCTAACCGGGGTTTGTAATACTCTGAGGACTGGATTGGACTCAATGGAGCGGCAGGTGAGGGAGGTTTTTCACAGGATTGTTCGCAGCAGGACTGAAGGGCTAGACTCTTTGGGACGAGCTAACCACTCTGAATAGAATCGTTGGAGTTTCAGAAACATGTTCTACTTGGGTTTTCATGGTTTCTAGGAATAAGAGAAAGAACAGAGGATGGAAATATGAAGACGAGAGTGACGATTATGAAATGGTGAGGGGACTCTGTATTTATTTACTCATAGCATATATTGTGTAAAGAAATTTGGATTTGAAAACATTGGCATGGATCTTCTCCATCGACGTCGTGGTAATGTCATATTTATCAGCCCATGGCTGACATGTATCGTTCATTGTTACACAGTTGTCTGTTGATCCATGTTTTATACGAACTCTACTGCAAAAGATGACATTATTGTCAAAATTTTCATTTGTTTCTGTCAATTTAGACATGCTCCGTGTGTTCTTCTTCTAGATCTTGTGAGAAAATCTTAGAGTTCGTGCACTCTGGAAATCTTATTTGTTTCAGGGATAGCTTCTGTAAAACTCTCTTCCATCCCGTTGTAATTGGGATCTCTTACTTGTTTTATGAGATGAGAAGGGGAACTTCCTCTCTTCTCCTTCCCAATAAACCTCCTAGGGAAGTATGATATAATCATTTCGGACGCCGAAGTCTTCTTCGATCCTTTTGGATTGATTTGCATATAACGTTTTGATGCACTGTAAAGACAGAATGAAGTGTTGCTGCTACGGCTGTTTCCACGAACAGAGGATCAAAATTTCAGTGGAACATGTTACGCAATGACAAAGCAGTTTTTCAAACAAACCCATTAGTATTTTTGTTGTTTCTGACCAGATCAATGAATGTGTTTTAGTTTGTCTGAATTTCTTTGTTAAGTTGCCCAATAGGATGGGAGAATCTATCCTGCATCACTCTGGTTTGTGGCTACAATGAAGGATATGGTGGTTGGATTCTACGCTTCGAGTCGTGTTCCTCGTCAGCGGAACATCGTTACTGACAGAATGGAAGGTATTGTGTGGAAGCTTTGACAATTGGTAAGCATACTGATCTTCCTCATCTGATTACTTTATTACAGAGATCTGATATTGATTTGGTCATCCTCAGGAGATCCGCTAAGATTGAGGATGCTGACCCTTGAAGGAAGGAGTTTGACAACTTGGTCAGCTAAATGGTAAGAATTATTCTTACACTTTTGGTCAAAGTTACTCGACCGTGTTTGACTCAGAAAATTTATCCCCACCGTGTTTGACTCTCCCCTTTCTCCACAACATTTTTTTACAGTGATAGTCATAAAGTTACTCCATACGCTGCATTGAGAGTCTGAGTCTTGGAGCTTTCAGCTGCTTTGTTTGTTGTCAAGAATCGAGGTAAGACCTTGTCTCACGCTACTGTTGGTAGTTGAAATTCATGTTTTTTCTTGTTGGGTTCATCCAGGGCTGTTTATTCATTCCTTGTCTGGTTGTGGTTGGTTCTTTGTTTGCTTTAGTTATGATGATGCTTCTCTGTTTTGTTTAATTACCCTTTTGGATGTTTTGTTTAATCTCCCAAAAGCTTTCTTCCCATTTGAATGCTCTGTGTTTCTTTCTGCCTCTGCCTTGCCTTGCCTTGTCTTTTTTCTTTTGTAATATGATCTTTCTTGATCATCCCCTCTATAAAAGTCGACATTTTTCGAGGTCTCTCCTCCAGTAGAGTTTGACTCAAGTCCACTGCTAGCAGATGTTGTCCGTTTTGACTTGTTATGTTTTGTCGTCAGCCTTACGGTTTTAAAACGCGTCTACTTGGGAGAGGTTTCCGCTCTTATAAAAAATGTTTCGTTTCCCTTTTCAACTAATGTGGGATCTCACAATCCATCCCCTTGGGAGCCCGGTGTCCTCGTTGGCACACTGCCCGGTGTTTGGCTATGATACCATTTATAACAGTCCAAGCCTACCGCTAGCAGATATTATTCGCTTTGGCCCATTATGTATCGTCGTCAGCCACACGGTTTTAAAACGCATCTATTAGGAAGAAGTTTCCACCCCCTTATAAAGAATGTTTCGTTTTTAATAATTCCTTTCGAGAAAGTCAACATTATATTGAACTCTACTGATGATCAAGGTCACTCTTCTGGTTGAGGTCGACTTTCACTGTGCCCTGTAATCTTACATTCCCCAAACAAAAAATCTAACCTTCTCCCATTTTTTTTTTGTTAGTGATGGTTTTTGTGGTATGGCCTTTCTAGAGGATTCCTTCTGATAATTGAATCCCATAAGGTCCCTCATTCTCGTAGAGTTCGACGTTTGGGAATTCTGGTTTCTTCTTGTCCTACTCGATTTCGATCCTTTCGGGTGGCCCTTACCATGCTCTCCACAGCTGATGAACAACTGGCTTTGGCCTACAAATCATCTTTTGATGTTAATGCTTCCTTTTCTGCTAGCCATGAGTTCATGATATTCTTTTCATGATACCTTAGCAGATCGCCCACCAAAAAATCAATATCTTTCAGCAAGAAAAGACACCTTTGATTATATGTTTACAAATTTGACCATTCATTCAGAAACTTGAAAGATTTGTTAGCCCCTGTATTTAATGAAACATTATATGATATCTCGAGCCTATGGTGACTGAACAATATGTCCTTTCCAATAATCACAAACCAAATTATTAAACTAAAAGCCAATGTAAAACGAATCCTTAGGGGCCAAGCCGTGTAGAAATAATTAAGAACAATAAGACCGAATCACATGGAACACACGGTGTCGTTACGAAATTAGAAAGCTACGTGTTACTAGTAATAGAACTTTGTAACAAGTGTCCATAACTTTGAGCTACTATTATCCTTTGCCGTCACCACATTGTATATTTGACTGGACTTTTCCACTTAAATTGCCTTGTCCATTTATTTGGCCATAAGCAAATAGCATATCCATTCGAATTATCTCACCTTGTTTAGTTAAAGGTAAGTATCTTACTGTTATCTTACTCCAACTCCAGTAGACTTAGTTCACGATAATTTATACGAATACGAAAATACTTCTTACCAAAAGGTTAGATGAAAAATTTTCTCACCGGTTTGCATATCATTTTTTATTTTTCGGTCGACGATCTCCAAAATTCAAATCTATTTATTGAAAAATTTTCAATATTCATTTGAGATTAAAATGTAGTCTTCGTAAGTTATAATTTAGCACAATACTTCCTACACAGAGGAGACTTTTTTTTAGAACACTTCTAGTCTTGTCAACAAGTTAATCAACTCAACCCAACTCCCTATATTTACTCTCATACATAAAAAATTGTGAGACGGACAGTTGAGCACCTCAAAGTTTCTACTTTTATTTGCTCTAATCGACTTTATTCTAAATATCTACCTTTACATCTTTCATGTATCCTGCTTTAGTTTTGTCATTCCCTGTCAATCTTCATGGATGGATTGTGATCACTGGTGTGAGCGATTACCAGCAAAGAATATGGTCTCAGTGATGTCAATCCTATGTCCATCTCTTCTGCTCTATTGAATGCGTCTCGTGGAAGATAAGTAGTTCACCATTCACCATTTCATGGAATTCACTCGCCGAATCCCTCGTGGGGGTCGTCGCTTTTCAACCACAGGAATCACCTTTTCCATTAGCTGTACCAGGAAAATATCAAACCAGCAGTATCATTACATGTAAACACTGCCATGTAGTTCAAGTTTAACATGTCATTATAGAATGAAAACTGAGGTCACCAGTCTGTCATATTTCATCAACAACATGGATGATTGGGCTCAAAACTCGTTAAGTTCGAAAACATACATCTTCAATATTCTGCTTAGAGGGAAACCAGTCTTACTTTGCAAATTATAAATAAAGGAACGTATGTAGGTAAAAAGCTACATACTGATATACCATTTGTAACCGCTCAAATTCACCACTAGCAAATATTGTTCTCTTTCGCCTCTACTAAGGAGAGATTTTTATACCCTTAAGAAATGTTTTGTTCCACTCTCTGGTGGACGTGTGATCTCACAAACGGTTTTCTTTTTTTCTTTTGGGAATAATCAATCAAGACTTGTAGCTAAAGAAATTGCTGCTTTCTAGTTTCCAATGGTATAATGTACCATAAAGTTCTTTCAAGACAAAGTTCTGAAAGAGGCTAAACGACAGAGGTTATCCACAGAATGTTTCGATGATGGTGATCACTGATGCAATAAAATATTCGATAATCCGATATTTGATGAACTTTCAATTGCTCGCAGACAAGCCAAGAGGAACGCAAATACTACAATTAACGATGGCCCTCGCTAACAGCGAAAAAAAATACTTCAAATTAGGTTGATGAAATTCAAATGCAAATCAAAGATTTCTTATCAACATGGAGCAAGAAAATTCACTGCAACTGTTTAAACAAAACAGCTAGATTTTAGAAGAAATTCACCGTGCTATTCCTTTTAAAAGGAAAACAAGAGAGACAGCACAAGAGAGCTGAAAGATAATAGTCAAAGCAAAACCTCTTTCATAACACAGCAATGGTAGCATCAAAGTTAGAAATCAATACCTGCTTATGCCTTTCCTTGCTCCTCTCGGCCTGCAAAAGAGATGAATTTTTTAAGTGCTAAAATGTAACCAACAAAATTGCAGAACAGACAACAGTCCTCTGTTTACATAGCTACAACAAATCCATGGCCATGAGAGAGGTTCCCTTTTTTCAAATACAATATGTTTTTGTCGACCATCAAACTAAATTTCGGGTAGCTCTAACATGTAAAGTTGAACATTCGTTCCTGTAACAGTTTTTTCTGCGCTTTCCCTTTCGGGTTTTCCCTCAAGGTTTTAAAATGCGTCTGCTAAGGAGAGATTTCCACACACCTATAATGAATGTTTCATTCTCCTCCTCGACCGATGTTGGATCACATAGTAGACTTATTAAACTTTGATTAGAGCTTGCAAATCTCACAGGCATAAACCTGGAACTTTTCTACAACGTACACACTTACTTCCACAAATTACAAACCTATCAACCAAACAAATGCAACGCTAAACCCAAAGTTTAAGTAACCAATCACTTGAACAACCAAAATACAGACTCTGCAAATCCAACTTCCCAACTCTAGCCTACACTACACAAAGAATAAACCTAGATTTGTCAAAAGCAGAATTATACTAAGTTGGATCCTACTCATCTAAGTCTCTCCATTCAGAAATGGATTATTTCCAGTCTTCTAGATCTTTGAAATAACAGCACATATTATAGAATATTTCTTTCATTATTGTTTTCTAAATAACACAAATGGATCCACAACCATTATTCTCTCCCTTTTCCTACGCATAGTATTTTGTCTAGTAAAAAAGAATTATTTGTGTTCTTCAGGATCCTTCTATAATCAGAAATACCAACAGCTTTAACTGTTTCTTGGTGCCCTGCAGTCTCTTTTAGTCAATAACTTTAAGCTCCTATTCACCAACTATCAAATATATCCACCATTTATTCTAATCAGACAAATGATTATCCAGTATGCACATCAGTAAAGATACTGCTCAAGATCTAAGATATACAACATAAGATTAACATAAAATAAAATATTCTGTAACGATCCAGATCCACCGCTAGCAAATATTGTCTTCTTTGGGCTTTCCCTTTCGAGATTCCCCTCAAGGCTTTAAAACGCATATGCTAGGGGAAGGTTTCCACACCCTTATAAATGGTGTTTTGTTCTCCTCCCCAACCAATGTGGGACATTACATATTCGATGTAGCCCAATGTACTCAAATTTATACTAGTTCGTTGGGAACTAAAAAACAGGGAATTAGAATGGGTTTTCATAAAAGAGAGACTCAGGGAGGTCTGAAGGATCAAACGGAAGGAGAAAAGTTCAGGCTCCAATATATCAATATAATGATAGCTTGTAGCTTCCATAAGAAGAAAAGCAATCTCTGACGCGTCCTGGATTCGAATCCCACTTTGAGATTCTCAAAAAACTTTACGAACTCTTAAGCAACTTTCTCCGACAGGCAAATGCAAGCAATAGCAAATAGATCCCAAATCCAGTGGAACAGAAAATTGAATAAAAAAGACGTTCTCATATGTCTGATATCGAAAATAAAAGTACCTTTTCTCTCAAAAGCCGCTCGTTCTCCTCCTCTAATTTTGCTACTAACGACTCTAATTCCACTTGATAAGCCTGAGATCGAAAAACCAAACAGCAAAAGTATACCATCAAATACATTTCAAACAAGAATCAAAGCTGAAAGTTCCTTTTGTTTATAAAGAGCACATTCAGTCACCTGCTTCCTTTCCCTAGACCTTGCAGCAGACTCCCTATTCTTGATCATCCTCCTCTGTCTTTGCTCAGCAGCCTTATCCAAGGGCTCCAAGGCAGCTCGCCCTCTTTTCCCTCTCCCCACACTTCCTCCACTGCCAACCAAATCGACCCCACTTCCAAATCCCACAATGGATCCTTCGACCTTTTCCACTGCCTGAAACGAGCTGCCTGGAATTGAATCAAACGAAAAAATCCCTCCACTCAGCCTCTCCGTCTGCGGCAATTTGACATCCTCAACAGGCGCAGCTCCAGTTTTCACAAGAAAATCCTCGAGGGTTATCAACTCATCAGTAACCTCCTCCTTCAACTCCTTCCTCTCACCCGATACAATCTCCCTCCACACATCATCCACAGTCTTGGGCGCGCCGGAGGAAGTATTGTGATAACTATCAATGACGGCAGAGGAATTAGTCGTATTCATGGGAAACGTAGAGGGGATAGGGGAATCAACAAGAGTGATCTGCGCATCTAAGAGAATAGACTCCGTGGGATTAGAATCATACCCATCACGAACTAAGCCATCGAGATTCATCGAGCTAAGACTATGGCTTCGATTGCGAGTCCGATTGTTGTCATTATTCCTGGAACTATTGGAGAGAAATTGAGGGTTTAAAAGAGAAGCAGAAGAGGAAGAAGAAGAAGAACCTCGAGATAGATCCGAATTTCGCGAACCGGAAGATGCCCAGAGCTTGGATGATGCCATTTTTGTCCTCTAAAATAGGCAAGGAATTCGCGAAGATTCTCTCGAAAATCAATGGGAATCTTTCAAGTAACACAACACAACAAGATTTTCGCGAGGAATTTCGGGGTGTCCAGATTGGGATTTGAGAGCGGCGAGGCTTTTGGGTTTTCGATTATGATTTTGGTCTGTGTGTGTGCGCGTCTGTTGGGTCAGAGGAAAAAGGAAGATGGCGACTGAGAGCGTGAGAAGTTGAAGAGAGAGTGAGAGGAACAGGGAACCTGGATTAGCCGGTTGCCGGTGAAGGGCATTGTAATTAGTAACTGGATTCTACCGGAAGTTTCTAGAACATTTGGGACCCTGTCACAATTCGTCCCCTCCCGACCAAAATTTTACTGTACACAACTATTCGATTACTGACAGTAAAAAAGCGACTTTTCTTTTTTGTTGCGTTGGGTCATTTATTCCCGTTAATAAATAAAAATAAAAATATCTATTTATTTATTTTTAAATATTTAATTAAAAATTATTTTTAAAAGGGTTGAAACATGAATAATCCAAAAAAATAATAATGAAATTAACTATATATATATATAATTGTAATGTATATAAAATATATTTTTTAAAATTACAACAAATTAGAAACCAACCTAGTCCATAAACTTTTTATTTATGATCTAATTTAAGCCGTAATTTAAGCAGTTGGATTGATCAATTTTTTTGGATCGTTAGATGGTTTAACCTTTTTACACAAAAATAGTAATTTAAATATGGTAGTTATTTTTTTAATGGGTCTAAAATATAAATATTTCTTTAGAAAGATTAAAAAAAAATTAAAACATTAAAGGCTTCTTATATAATTTTTTTTAAAATTAGGCTAAAATTCAAATTTTTTCTTAAAAGGATGAAATTAATCGACTCGTACGAAATCAATACAATTTTGAAAACTAAAAAATCTTTAGGTCTTTTCTTTTTAGAATTTTCGACCACAAAGATGCCATATTTCCATCAGTCATGTGTCAATCATACTAATTTTGTCAAACATGTAAGGAAAACGAAATTATTCCCTCTTTATCTACTATTCTAAATTTCAGTATAAGTCTAAAATTTTAAACCTCTAATATTTTGGTCAACAATGTTACTTGACTAGTTGATCTATATTCAGATTAACATAAATTTAGTTTTCGATAGAGAAATTTTGAAATTTTTATCTTGGAACAAACAAAATTTACAACCAATAGTAAAATCCTAACAAACGAATATTCACTGGTATTTCTTTATTTCTTTAAAAATCTGAGTTTTAATTGGGACCATATATTTATGCTTCGCTTATATAACGTAATGTTTAAATAAATAATAATAATAATAATCATATTTTATGGCTTGTACATCTTTCCTATAATTAGGCCAAAGATGGTAGCTAGCTTAAGAATAAACCTCTTGGAAACCTTCCCCTAACACATAATACATACTCAAACCACACACTTTAAACTCTTTTTGGGCTCTCTCCTCGCTTGCTTCCTTAATTCCACAATTCAAAAAAAGAGTATAAGTAATCAAATTCCACGCGTCTAAAAATCCAACGCCTTTTGCTTATTATAAACATGATTAAAATTTATATCCCTATCACCACTGATAATCGAAACTTTTCATCTCTCCTTTTCATAAATAAAATTCGAAATTTTTAAGTTGATGTCACTTTCAGTTTTGTGTCAAATAATAGAAATTACAATTTTGATTCTGTTTGGGATCACGACTCTCACAATAATGTGATATTGTCCACTTTAAACATAAGTTCTCATGGCTTTGCTCCCAAAGGTCCTCGTAACAATAGAGATAGTATTCCTCAATTATAAACCCAATGTGGGACTCACTCCCGATAATCCTCAATAGATATGTTTCTGTACTTTAGAAAGTGCTTTCTGTCTATTGACTTATTTGGCATTTTAAAAAAATGTCAAATCTATTAAAGCATATCCTCTGAAGGCTAAAGGAATGATAGCGCAAGCTCTACAATAAGGAAACATAGTCTAAAAGGGTGGGATAAGACAATGCTGCTAGATATAAAATTGATTGTTAAGAAAGTTAAACATGCCAATGACCTAATAGATACAAAATTGAAAGTTCAAATAACGACAGTTTTAACATTTTTAAAGTCTAAGAATCAGATAATAAAGTTCAAGAACTTGTCGAAATTGTTTGATAAGGGGTGAAGCTTTCAAAGGACCACAAAACAACAAAGGGGAATCAAAACTTATGCAATACTAATTAATCAACATACCCAAAAAACTGGAGTATTCTCCGGCAACCAATCAATTTGAACAAGCAACTCTTTCCTTCTCCCTGGTTGGGTGCTTCTCCATATTATATATAAATAAATTGTTATTACTCTTCTCAAACAAATTGTTGGCTTCTTCCTACTCAAGATTCAATTATGTGGACAAAATTTAGGGCTTCAAGATTCATTTGGATTTCGGTTTTTGCAGATGTGAAACACCAAATTAGAAACAAGCCTCAAAAAAGTTTCAATGTAAATGAAGAATACCTTTGTGCATTGAGGTCCAGATCCTTCGTTGAATTTTTCGCAAAAGCTCAATTGATTGTCCAGGAATCGCCGCCGTCTACATCCTCCTCCGCCGACCTTTACTGCCGCAAATTTTCGGAAACGATCTTGCTGCAGTCTGATCAATTAGAAGCCAATCCTTCGATTCTCGAATCGCCATTGCTTGTGATGTTGCCGGAGCTTAGAGGTCTCTTAATCGATTTCTTCAATGTTAGTGCGGAGGCTTCAAATCTCTGCCATCGTCTCCTTGCGAACCTCAAATTAGCCCGATCTAACTCGCGCTTCGTTCAAAAATTGCTCGATTCGATCGAGAAATGCTCTTCTCCGAAGGAAATTGAAACGATTACCTCTGATCTTCTAGCGCAGAGAGCTCCATTATCGGATCTCGACAAACGCGATTTCGCGCGAATCCACGACGACTACGCGGCGGTTTCGCGTAGTTTGAACATCACGAGAAAAAAGGTAGCGAGAAAGATCAGATCAATCAAAATCATCGATAGATTTACCTGCGGATTAGTCGCCATTACCTCCCGCGGTCTGACTGCCTTAGTAATGGCAGCCGATCAAGGTCCAGTACTTCGGTACTTCCGACTGAAATCCATCCGCAGAAAGCTTCTCCGGCATCAGATGCTTGGAAATGGCGGCCTTGAAAGAGTAGGCGAACAACTGGAAGCGGCAGCCAAGGGAAGTTACATACTGAACAGAGAGTTCGATACGACGAGCCGGCTCGTGGTACGGCTTGGCGACGCCGTGGATCACGGAAAGGCAATGGTGCGGTTGTTTGTGGAAAGGAAGGAGAATAAATTTGCAGTTGCGGTGGCCATGGATGAGATGAAGAGGAGCAATGTGAGCATCAGAAAGCAAGTTGAAGACGTTGAAGAACACTTGTATTTGTGCATTGTGACCATTAACAGATCCAGAGCTTCTGTGATTAACCAAATGTGATAGCAACGGGACGGCGATCCAGAACGGGATTTGGGAATTGGGGTTTGGATGCCATAGATTTCTAGCGGGAAAATTTATTCACTTTTATGGAATATATAATTTAAATTTAATTTTTATTAGATTATTTATTATTACATTCACAATTAATACCATGATTTTAAAATATCAATATCTACCAAAATGTAAATTCTGTTGTGGATTTATACATTAATCAATAATATTTGAGTTTCAACCAAATAATAATAAATTCAAAATTTTTTAACTCTTTACTTTAAAATTTATGAGAGTCAGTTACGGACCCGTTTCCACTCTTATAAAAATATTTTTTTTCCATAATCTACCCCTCATCAAGGCGAGCGAGGATGTTGACACTCGTTTCCTTCTCTAATCGATGTGGAACTCCAATCCACCCCATTCAGGGTCCAGCGTGCTTGTTGGCACACCGCTCTGTGTCCATCTCCCTTTGGGGTTCAACCTCCTCGTTGGGGTCCAACGAGGACAATTCACCCCCTATCAGGACCCAGCGAGAACGTTGGCACTCGTTTCCTTCTTTAATCGATGTGGAACCCCAATCCACCCCATTCGGGGTCCAGCGTCCTTGCTGGCACACCACCTCGTGCCCATCTCCCTTTGGGGCTCAGCCTTCTTGCTAGTACATCGCACGGTGTATGACTATAATCCATTTGTAAGAATCCAAGCCCACACCCATATAAACAATGTTTCGTTCTCTTCCCTAACCAACGTGGGATCTCACAAATTCTAAATTGTGCGACCTCCTAAGAATTTTCCTGTGAGTGAGAATAAGATATATTGTAAGAGCTAGCGTTGGTCCGTGGGAGATAGTTTTCACTCTTTAGAAGCGAGAAGTAGATAACGTGACCCAGTCGCCGAAGAATATCAAGGTCATCAGATATTGAATCCTTACTCACTTACTCCTTAAGAGATCAAGCACGTAACGCTAACGGAGCCGAATAGCACAAAGTATAAGAAATTAAAGCCATTTTAAAGCAAGTTTGGACAAACCAAGAAACCCCATTAATGTATAGATGAAAAGATGATAGCACTATGAAGCACTATCATATCACTCATCAATTTAAAATCAATCTTATTATGGGGACTAGATCTTCAAGAATCAAACTTTAATTATTTAAAATCAATCTTATTAGGTAAAATGATTTTGTAATCATTATTATTTTATTTCTTTCATTTTTCTTCTTATTATAAGCTAAGCTAAGCTTAATTAACACCCTAACATTACATAATCATTACATTAATTGATCATAAACATCCACTTTCATCACTAATTTTACTATATGGTAATGATATGAATGGGAACCTTTCTTTAATTCAAAATTACTCAACCTTTTCTTATATCATATGGTGTATAAATTCATGTATTACACACAGAAATAGAGAGCTTCATCCATGGTGGAAGCTGAGAGAAGGAAGGGAGATTCCGCCATGAAAGGGCAAAGAGGAAGCTTTTTGAGCTTTGTGAAGGGTAAAAGATGCAAAGATGGATGAACGAGAGGATATATTTGATGCTCACTTCTCGTAAATCTGTCACAATAGTTCTTCATATGACTCGAATTCGAACATTATTTTTTTTGTAGATAAACGTACGTTATTAGATGGCTTGTGCCCATTCGTACCTGTCTCTCTCGAGTCATTTCATTGTATCAATCATTTCTAGAGCCCCTCGAAGAGATGGAAGAACGATCGAGACGACCTTAACTTACACTACGCAACTATCTCA